CTATTTAAAATAGCCAAAATATAGGAACAACCTAAATGACCATTGAAGATGATAGATAAAGAAGTTGTGATATATATATAATATATATTATATATTATATATATATATAAAATGGAAAATATGTACTTGAAATCGAGAAGCATTATCAGAGATAAGGAGGCCAAGTTCATAAGAATAAAATGATCAATTTGTCAGGGCTCTGACACCAGCACATAAAAGATGTATATAAAAGAAATATATATATATATATATTATGGAATACCACTCACCCATAAAGAAGAATAAAATGATTTGCACCAACATGGATGGAAATGGAGATCATCATTCTAAATGAAGTAAGCCAGAAAGAGAAAGAAAAATACCATATGATATCACTTATACATGAAATCTTTTTAAAGACACTAATTTACAAAACAGAAACAGACTCATAGAAATAGAAAACAAATTCATGGTTACCAGTGGAGATAGGGGATGAGAAGGGACAAACTGAGAGTTTGAGATTTGCAGGTACTAACTACTATATATAAAATAGATAAACAACAAGTTTATACTGTATAGCACAGGCAACTATATTCAGTGTCTTATAGTAACTTATAACAAAAAAGAATAAGAAAAGGAATATACATGTATATATAATGACTGAAACATTATGCTATGTACAGAAACTAACACATTGTAAGCTGACTATACTTCAATTTTTAAAAAGTTCAGTGAACTACATGTACAGACAGTAACATGAACAAAATGAGAAGTTCAACAAAGAAATAGAAGCCACCCAAAAACAAAAACAAGCAGAAACAGAAATCCTAGAGCTGAAGAATACAATGACTGCCTAAAGAATTTAATAGAGAGCTTGCACAGACTCAACATTGCAGAAGAACAAATTCTTGAACTAGAAGATGGGTCATTTGAAACTAATCAGTCAGAGGAGAAAAAAGAAAAACTAAATAAAAAAGAGTAAAGATAGTCTACAAGATTTATGGGACCAAAAAAGGGAAAAATACATGCATTATGGGAATCCAAGAAGAAAGTAAAAAGACAGAAATCAATTTAAAGCAATAAATGGTTGAAAACTTCCCAATCGTGGGAAAATAAATGAACATCAGATTCATGAGACCCAGACCACAAATAGGTTAAACCTGAAAATAGCTGCACTGAGACACACTATTATTAAATTGTTGAAAGTCAAACAAAAAGAGAAAAATTTGAAAGCAACAAGAAAAAAGTGACATTCACATACAAGGGAGCCCCTATAAGACTATGACCAGATTTATGAACTAAAACTTCCAGACCAGAGATTGTGAGATGATTTATTCAAAAAATTGGAGGGAGGGCAGAATTTCAACCAAGTATACTATCCATAACAAAACTGTCCTTCAGAAATGAAGAAGATAACAACTTTCCAGGACTAACAAAAGCTAAGGGAGGTCAACACCACAAAACCTGCCTTACAGGAATTGCTAAAGGGTAGTATTAGAGCAGAAATAAGAAGATACTAATAGCATGATAAAAACATACGAATGTATAAATTACATAAAAAATAAAATATATTGTAAGTTTTCAATTACTGGTAAAAATATAGTCATAGTCATAGTCCCTAATATTGTAAGGGTGGTATGTAATTCACTTACAACAACTTCAAAACTTAAAAAAACAAATTTATTAAAAATAATGATAACTACAATAATTTGTTACTGGGTACACAATATAAAGAACATATCAGTTATATTTAATAAAGTAAAATATGAGGGGGAGCAGTAAGAGTATAGTTTCTATATGCATTTACATTAAGTTTTATCAACATAAAATAGAAATGTTACAAAAACATTTTATGTAAGCCTCACGATAACCACAAAAGAGGCACAGAAAAGATTATGAGAAAAGATTCATTGCATATCATCACCAAAAGTCATAAAATCACAAATAAAGAAAGTAAGAAAATAAGAAAGAAAAAAATCTACAAAGCATTCAGAAAGCAATTAACAAAATAGCAATGGTAACTCCTTACCTTTCACTAATTACTTTAATCATAATGGATCAAATTTTCCAATCAAAAGATACATAATGTATTTAAATTTTTAGAAGCAGGATTCAGTAATATTTTGCCTACAACAGATTCACTTCAGCCTTAAGTACACACATACACTGAGAGTGAAGTGCTGGAAAAAATAGTTCAAACAAATTGTAAAAAAAGAGAGCAGGGGTACCTATACTTGCACTATAGAAAACAGACTTTAAAAATTGAACTCTATACCCCCTTTGGTGAGAGTTTTTATAATAAATCGGTGCTGAATTTTATCGAATGTTTTTTCTGCATCTATTGAGATGATCATGTGGTTTTTGCCCTTTCTGTTGTTGATGTGATGTATTACATTGATTGATTTGCATATGTTGAACCACCCTTGTGTCCCTGGGATGAAACCCACTTGGTCATGATGTATAATCTTTTTTATGTGCTGTTGGAGTCTGTTTGCTGATATTTTGGTGAGGATTTTGGCATCTATGTTCATCAGTGATATTGGCCTATAATTCTCTTTTTTGGTAGTGTTTTTGCCTGGTTTTGGTATCAGGGTGATGGTGGCTTCATAGAATGAGTTTGGGTGTATTCCCTCCTTTTCAATCTTCTGGAAGAGTTTGAGAAGGACTGGTATGAGTTCTTCTTTGTATGTTTGGTAGAATTCCCCAGTGAAGCCATCCAGTCCTGGACTTTTATTGGTAGGGAGGTTTTTTATTGCTATTTCGATTTCATTTCTAGTGATCAGTTTGTTCAAGTGGTCAGTTTCTTCTTGATTCAGTCTTGGAGGACAGTATGTTTCCAGAAACTTGTCCATCTCCTCTAGGTTATCCAGTTTGGTTCCATATAGTTTTTCATAATATTCTTCTATGATATTCTGTATTTCTATTTTATTTGTTGTAATTTCTCCATCTTCCTTTCTTATCTTGCTAATTTGTGCTCTCTCTTTTTTCTTCTTTGTGAGTTTGGCCAGAGGTTTGTTGATTTTATTTACTTTTTCAAAAAACCAGCTTTTGGTTTGATTGATTTTTCTATGGTCTATTTAATCTCTATTTTATTTATTTCCTCCCTAATCTTTATAATTTCCTTCCTTCTGCTGCCTTTGGGGGT